AATGGGATTTTACATCCCTAGTTAGCAGTGAAGGCTCAGCAGATGCTAGCTGAAGCCAGAATTAAACCAGATGGCCTTGCAATCCGTTTATCAAAGCTCTCAGCGTTCCCATCTCAAGGCCAGCAAAACACTAAAAAAAAAAAAAGCAGAGCTGTGTTAAAGGGGCAGTTGTTTGCACCTACCTTACTGTCGGTGGAATATCCTGTCCCAAAGGCCCAGTGGTCAGATAGGCAGCACCAATCTTGTCAAGAGCAGAGGGAGGAGGAGTAAGAGAGCCAGAAATCTCATCAGGCCCCTCTTTGTCAGGCTGTTGCTTCACCACACACGTTACACTGTTATTCTGAGCAGAGCAAAGCTCGGGCGTAGTGGATAATACCTGGCAAGGAATGGAGCATTGAAACAATAAAACAGCCCTTTTCACGTGACAGCGTGACATTGGAAAAAGTTACGTAACCAAACTGAAGGCAGCCCAGAAAGGCGCTTGAATACAGCCTGAGCCCCCATTCGAGCAGATCCGCCAACTGGGAATTAAAAAGTTTCTCCTAGTTATCACCGCTGGGGCTCTGCCAGCTAGGACCAAACTCCCACTCCCCCATCACCAATCTCTGATGGTCAAGAAGTGAATCCACATCACCTTCAGACAAGTCTCTAGAAGTCCAGGACTGACGCATTCCCCTAGCAGTTACCACCTCAGGAGGCTCTGCCAGCTAGATGTTGAACTGCCCCCCACTCCCACAACCATCTTAGCAGGCTTTACCAGCTGAGGACCAAGCCACATGACTGCCCAGTCGCTCTCCCAAAGGGGAATTCCTCTCTCCTCCACTTCCCGAGCCTCTACCACCGGTACAGTTAGCGTTTAGGGCTGTAAGAGTTCATGGTGAATGGTGCTATAGCTCCTCCATGCCAGGAGATGAGGTGTCTCCTGGAGCTTCTGTGAGACCGTCCATGCACAGAAAGACACATGCAAAAGACAGACGCTCTTTCTACACGTACAGACATGCACCTGGGGATTTTGTGGGACGACGATGTCACAAAAGAAACATGAATGACTAATGGAAGAGAACAGGAAATAATGTCACCACTGTGGGAACACGACAAACATGAGTGAGGACAGAGTAACACCCCAGAGACCTCCTTGTTTCACATCATATCAAATGCTCCACAACAGTGATCAAAGCCTCATCTACTTACGTGCTTCACGATACGCATGGCTTATTGAGAGGTGGCTTATGGGGAGGAGAGAAGATGGAAATAAGAAGTCCCCCTGTCCTCACCAAGTTTGTCCTTCCCAATACATCAGGGGAGACTAGTCTAGCATGCGACATGAGGGCATTTTTGGGAAGAGGGCATGCAGCAAGACTAGGCTGGAGTTGGAGGGGGCGGGAAGATGTATTAATACCATGATGATTGTTGGGAAGGAACTGTCCCTAAAGGACGGCCAACCTGATCGCACGCTGCAGTGTCCAGAGCTGCCCGGAGAACCCATCCTGGGCAGCCGTGTCCGAAAGACAGTGCTCCTGAAAATTCAAAACATCAGTCTTTATATAGCCAGTTAACCTAAAAGTTGGAAAGGGCCTGAGACAATCCGCCCTGCGACCGCAGGACAGATAGAAGGATCTCACTGACCCCTTCTGTGTTGAGAGGGGGCACGATCAAGCCCCTTGATTAAGGCAGGGCTTGGGAAAAGAGTGGTATGTGAGCTAAAGCTCCTAAGCACTGTCACACTATTAGTAAGGGGTTAATATTGGATTGGTGTTCGCATGTCCAAGCTGTGCGCACCACGGGGTTTTCCTGTTCCAGCCAACACACCGTGATCCTTGTGTCAACTCCTCTTTCAGAAGACAGAAATGAGAAAGATAAGGGGGAAAGGCAGAGATCTTGCCATCCCCAACAGCACAGAGCAAAGCAGCGTTCCCCACTCTCCAAGCCATCACAAAGCCTCCTCTAATCCATTTCCTTCCTCTCACCTGGTGTTCCAGGTTCTCCAAAGACGAGGATGAGGATGATGACCTCCTCCTCTTCCTCTCTGAGATCGGCTCTCTAAGAGATGGGAAGGAAGAAGGCATTCAGCGTCCACGCTCTGTACCACTCAACCAGGACCTGGAGTTTAGTTCTTCCAGGAGGAACAGCTTGGAGGTGGCATGGGCAAGACTTAGGACATAATGATACCTCTCAACATGGAGAGAGTTTACCGCCCCAGCAGCAGAACACAGCCCTGGCAGGCAGTTTGAACTAACTACAGAAGTCTAGATTTGGAGGGAGAGATCCTAGAAACTGGGCAAGAGAAGAATCGACACGTCATGCCCCCTGCAAGAAAACTGGGAAATGTCACCTGCACCCAGAGCTGCTGGGCAGAGATTCTGTTGTTTCCCTCTCCCACTCCCTGATTGCGTTGAGTTGGCAGAAGCAGCAGCGGGACCAACAAGATTGGTTTGCTGCCTCCCTTGGTGCTGCTAGTGGAGCTGCAGGATGGAGTCAGCATATACTTAACTGTTTCCTGAATTTCCGGTCATAGCTGGGGCTCATCTCCTCATCACTGGGCTCCTGCTCCTCAGGGGCTGAGCAACTTCTGTAACAAGATCAGTCTGTCATTTTGGAGCATGAACGAGTCCCGTTTGACTGTCACCTGAGAACTCCCAAGTCTTTAGGATCTTTGTATACAATGTCTCCAGCTGCTCTCTCAGACTCTTCAGCACTTGAGCCGGTCTTATAGTACTTTAGCCTTTGCATCTATTTTAGACCGAGCAAAATTTGAAATATTTAGGGAAAAACAGCCACGTACCTCCTAAAATTACACAGACGAGGAGGCAGAAAGTTAGTGTTGTTTATATCTTGAAGCATGTTTACATACCATATACATAAATAAATGTAACTATGGATAGGATTCACATAAAATATTTAATTCTGCTACGTTTCTGGCCTCCACCGTACTGTGGGGCAATGCGTCCCTCAAAGTAATTATGTGCTACATAAACACTGAATTCTTTTATCATGGTTAAATTTGCCAGGATGTTCCTTGGTTCTTACAAGAAAGAACAAAGAAGAGTTCCCAACTAACCACTTCCACACCATCTATTATTGTGTATACATTAGGGATGTTAAAAATCGTGTAACGGGTAACTGCGTAACCACTGAAAATCTCAGCAGTTACACATGGGGTGGGCTCTGCCGTATAAAGCTTAGTTATCCTGCAGAGTCCACAGCAAAGCCTCCTCAGGAGCGGCACCAACAGGCCCTGCCAGCCCAGCTCCTGGGGAGGAAGCGCTGCTGCCCTGCCGCAGTAAAGCTGCCTCCCAAGGAGCTGGCTGAATGAAACCAACACCACTAACCGACAAGCATCAGCGTGCTGATTAAACCGTTAATCAGTTCTACTCTGACATCCCTAGCATACATCCAGGGTGCCCCGTCTCTGAACTAGTCAGTCCTAATCCTTCTGTTCCCTCTGGAAGTCTTTCCATAGCTCTACGAGTTTTCATTGACCTGTTCCAGAGAATTCAAGACTTGGGCATAGAGCCCACTTCATGCATCTGACGAAGGGAGCTGCAGTCCACAAAAGCTTATTCCCAAATAAAAGTGTTAGTCTTTAAGGAGCCACAGGACTCCTTGCTGTTTTTGCTGAAACCGACTCCCTCCCGATACAGTGATTTATAAAAAGCATTGTAACAGCCTCAGTAATATTCTTTATCCCTTTATAATGCCTCCCCTGTTAACACCTTGATGGCTTTGGTTAGGTTTTTTAAAAACAACAATTATGACACACGGAGCAGATGTTGTCACTAAACTATTAGTTCTTTCTCCCTGAGAGATTACAGTTAATTTAGAAACCATCTGTACATATGAATAATCTTAATTATTCTGTCTAACCTGAATTGCTTGGCACTTGTTTGTCTTGCTGCCTGACTACTCAGTTTAAGCAGACCCATCTGATGTTGCTCAAAACCCACTCATCTTGAATGAAATTGAGTCAGATTACAGATGACACCCCCTTTTCCAGATCCCAATTAATATATTAAACAGTCCCTACATTAGTCCAGGACCTTGAGGGATCCTTCTGTTAACCTCCCTCCACACGAGGACCTGTATTTCTAGTGGAACTTTTTTTCAGTTCCTTATCTATATTTTCCAAGTGGTGATAACTAGTGGCCAGGTACACGTCTATACACCAAGGTTTATATGCAGATGCACATGGGAAGAGAAGCAGGGGCCAGCAAAAATGGGGACGTCGAGTGTTTGCATTAATCAAGGTTTATATGCAGATGCACATGGGAAAAGAAGCAGGGGCCAGCAAAAATGGGGATATCGAGTGTTTGCATTAACAGCGGGAGGCAGCAGGGAGAACGTTCAAAGAGAGTAGTGAGCTCTTACTTGTACTTAGGGTGGGGATGGAGATGACAGAACCACTTCTCAGGTAATGATGCAGGATCAACTTTGTCAGGGAGTTTCCTCCATTTTAAACACTCCTCACACTGCACCCAAGTCTGGTCTGGTCTTCCTCTGGAAAGAAAGATACATGGACTGAACCCCTTGGCTACAAAGCGAAGAACTACCCCAGGCCTGTTTGCTCTCCCCTCCCGTGCTGCTGCTGTGTGGCTGGCTAGTTTGGTGTGCAACTTCTAGTGCATGGGCCTAGTTAGTTTTGCTTTTCGTAACTGCCCATTCTCAGATGTGCCATTTGCTCTGCAGAAAGTGCCTGTAGAAGATGAGCAGCTCCCTTCCCAACACCACCTACAGAGTCCCTGGGAGAGGACAGAGAACCCTCAGCATCACAACCCTCCCTACCGTCTCCACCCCACACCTTGCCATGCTCCAGCATTGCACACAGCCCCATCAGAATGGACTGCTCACCACACTACCATGCTGCTCACATCAGGGCTATGAAAATGAAGACCCAACTGTATTAGCACCCAATCCAGACAGTGCGGCCAAGCTACTCTATGTCCCAGCCTGGAACACCACATTATCCTAGTCCAAGTGCCCTTAACACATCTGCCAACGCCCCCTCTTTCTCATGCCCTGCTCACCCCAACATTAGCCAATGGACTAGGCTCAGATCACTGAACTCAATACACTAGCAGACTTTGCAACTACTTCTCGCAAGGTGAAGGGACACTAATCAACCCTCTGTATGTTTTGCCCTTTCCCAAACTCTCCCTCCCCTCCTCCCCCCGCTTCTCTGCAGATGGAATGCCCAGTGCTTTTAATGCCGCACTAAAATTAGACCACCGTGTTCGAACTCACACTATCATGTTGGCTGCACTGGAACTGCCCAACTTCACCTCTGCCATCTTCGCCTTCCAGTAAGTGTTGAGTTTTTGTCCCAGGGCTGTAATTGTCCGTCTAAAGAGAAGGGGAGAGCAGTGAAAACCAGGCATATTTCACAGAACGTCACAATAGGTAGCACAAGTAACAGCCCAGGCAGAGAAGCAAACCTCCTTTAGTGCCTGCCTCTGTTTTGCACTACAGGAACCAGAGGTGCTCAGATACGACAGTAGCAGCGACAGAGAAGGAACTCAGACTTGCTATCGTAGGGTCAGCTTGGGTTTTAGAACATTCAGTTAGATTTATACCAGGAATAACCCTGGTGTCTCACCCATCCCACAGCTTCAGTAGTCCTCAATACCATCCTGTTCCTGCTACATTGGGCTCCCAATACTCCAGGGTCTTATTTTTCTGCCACTCTCATTGGAGCAGGATTGCCTTCTTGGTCAGAGTCAGGGTCATTTCCTTTCCAAACCAGGGGAACTAGTACCTTAGTTTTCACAGAGTTTAAGGCCAGAAGAAACTCTTAGGGCCATCTAATCGGACCTCCTCTACAGAACAGACTAGAAAATCTCTTCCTAGAATTTCTGCATCCTTTAGGGCTCACGGTCAGGTGCGCACAGAAGCTTAGGTCACTCATCTTTGGCCCCAAACTTCAGCTACAGCACAAACACAATTTGTACCAAGAAAGGCCACGACCAAACTCAGCAGCTAACTAGTCTTGGCTAGCCCCATCGGAAACCTTGGGGCAGTCGTCCCACAATCTCCAAAGAGAAACCATCAGCTCTTCCAACATTTCCAGGTAGTCTCATCCAGTCATTGGTTGTTATATATGATTCAGGTTACCAATGGAACTAAGGCCAGCATCAACAAACTTCAAACAAATTATATACAAGCCCAAGCATGGGGACTGTGCACAGGAAGAGAGGATGGAGCAAACACACAGTTTTCTTCTCCCAACAGAAAAACAATTTCTACCCTTTGCATTGGGATGAGGCCTGTATAACAGAATAAGGGTAAGTGCAAGTACAAGTGCTTTTTCAGCCAGTCTAGCCATCTCTTACACATTCCAACAGAAAACATCTCATCACACCGATCAGAGGAGAACTTAGAATGAACAGTGACCTGACAGTTAGGAGAAGAGAAAACCCGAATTCTAGAGAGCTGTGTTCAGACTGGAACATGAAGAACGGGCTTAGCCAAAGCTCATCCCAAACTATGGTTTCTCTTGTTCTACAGGCGAGCTTGCTATAGGGATCAAGACTGAGGGATGTGGAGCCTCCCCTAACTTTATGGGAGCAATTAATCATTGAGTGCAAGGGCTGCCTAATCTACCCTATCCACTGCTAAAAACAGGTTTCCTGGTGTCAAAATGACAGCAGAAGCCTCCATCAAGCATCAGCATGAAACCCACACTTCAGAAGGATGCAAGTTCTGGTCAAGTCACTAAACTAGGAGGTTGGTGGGGGAGGGGGGTTAGGGAGATGACAGA